GTGAGTAACTGCAGCGCTCGTGGTCGCTGCCCCCCAGCACGGCCCGCGCTTCCTTCTCCAGCTCCTCGTTCTCCGCCAGCACCTCCGCCAGGGACACCACGGGTTCCTCCGCGCCGCTCCCGCCGCTCCCTGGCTCGGCGCTCTCCGGTGCTGCCGCCTCCATCGCCGGGCCGCGAAGGCCGAGGAGCGCGAAGCGAGGCGGGAAACACGGAGCCAAGGAGGCGCCAGGGGGCGCCACAGCGGAAGCGGAATGGCGCGCGCCCCACGTGACCGGGGGCGGTGTGTCACCGCGGGGCGGGGCGGGGCGGGGCGGCGCGCGCAGCCGGCACGTGACCGGCGGGGCGGGCACGTGAGCAGCGGGCGGTGATGGCCGACCCGGTGGCGGGAACGGAGCCGGAGCCGGGCCCGGGCCGGGATCTGGTGGCGGAGCTGCGGGGCCGCGACGGGCGGACGCGGACSGTGCGGGTGCCGTACCCGGCGGCGGAGGAGGGCGAGGCCGCGCAGTTACGCGGGCTCCGGCRGGCCCTGAGCGAGCTGCAGGAGCGGGTGGTGGAGCTGCTGGCGCCGCTGGTGCAGGAGGAGCGGGCGGCGGCGGGCGGCGCGCAGCGCGGTGAGTGGCGGGGAGGGCGCGCCGAGGGGGCTCCGCCGGCCCCGGGGCGCCACTCGCGCCCCGCACCGTTCAACCGCGCCCGCCCGAACTCTGGCAGGTGCTGGCGGGGATGAGGACGACTACGATGACGATGAGGAGGATGAAGGCGAAGACGAAAACCACGTGGACACAGCGGCGAGCGGCGATGACCCTCCCGTGAAGCGAACGAAGGTGCAGCAGCCGTGAGGACGGCGCTGGAGGCCGGGTCTGCGCCTGGACAGTCCCATTCGGCTGTACCGACTGTAAGTGTCCCGGGCCCGCTGCACGGGCCGGCTCCTGCGGCGCTGCTGCTCCCGTTTAAAAGCGCAGTGTCTATCCCGGAGTAATACGGAAGCCTTACCGAAAGGATGCGCCTGGGTGTGAGCATCGTGTTGCTTACCGGGTGACAGTACGCTGACAACTAGTTGACAAGTATAAAACTTTTCTTACAACTTTTCTGATTGGTATGTTTTTCARTAACTTATTATGAGTCACAGTATTTCTTCATGTGACACTTTTAAAATAAAGCAATAAAATCTGAAGAGTTATTTTGTCAAATATGATCTTTAAAAGTACGAGACAACTTGTGTTTGTATGCAGAAAAAGGAATGTAAGACCAGTATAAGTATCAAAATAACAAGCATGTGTAGGACTGTCCATTCCTGTACAATCCTACAATGGAAGATTATTTTTGCCTATCATCTACAAAGTTTAGTCACCCATCAATCAAGTATGCCTCTGTGAACAGGTATAAAACACTGGATAGTCAGTCATACAGCCTAAGAGTCGAAAAGACCAACTCAGAAGACTAAGGAGGTTTAGTTGCTGGGGAACTGGGGTGAGAGAAAATTACACGAATTCTGATCTGTCAGGCTGCATCATCTTGAAGTGATAAAATGCTTTAAATGTTCTAGGGTAGATAATTTATTGCAGGGAGTGTCTCATCAAAATGGCAAAGGCAACGCTTAGTACAAAAAATAGTCTGATAAATGTATTAGAAGAGCTCTTTCATGTGATCTGTGTGAAAGTGATGACATCTTTTATGAGCTTGTTCTACAGCTTTGGAAGCTTGTTGTACACCTACATCTGAGAGGAGTGTTTTCCCTTTTCCTCCAGACAAAACACTCCAAAAACGGTATGAACTGTGGGATGGCCGAAAAGTGACATTTAACTTTAGGCAAGAATTTGTGGCCTTTACATATAAACTGTGTAAACAGTCGCCTGGCATGCCATGGGCTGAAAACCTTTGGTCTAAAGCAGCAGACCCAAACTTTATTAGCACAGGAGTAAGTGCAGGTAACACTCCAGTAATGAGGTACTTCTTTTTGCCTGTCAACCTGGACACAGGAATGTGCTGCATCTGAGCTCCAGAAAATACTAGTGGGCATTGGGTCAGAAACAACCACTCAAATTTCTGCCTTGAAAGACGCTTTGCTAGTACTTACTGCAGCTACAAAAATTTTCAAATTACAAAAAGAGCACTGGTGCTTCAGGGAACCTTATGCAATTCTAAGTTGTAGTTTGACTGTGACAGAGGTGCCCTAACTTAACAGACTTTATTTTTCTGAGAGTTGCTGTGAGGTTACCAGGCATAGGAAGCGTTAGTGTGATGTGGTTCTCTACTCTGTTGTTACTGTTTTCAAATACTGAATTTGCTGGTTCAAACAACTTTGACGCTAAATTCAGGAAGGAACTTAMCAGGTTGCAATATTCTGTATTAAAAAAAAAAGTTTTAAATCTCAAACATGCAAGGCACTCAGTTCTTTGAGGGAGAGGAGGCAATCCCATTATGCCRAGTAATTGGGGCATTATCTAAAAGTGCAAGTCCTTCCCTGGCTCCCAGGAGAGAGATCACAGTTATCATTTTCATTAAGGATTTGAATGCCATTCACCCATTGCAGCCCATTTAATTCCCACTCACTCCATCTTAAAAGGTAATTTATACACAAGCAATTATGAATATCAGATTCTCTATAAAATACCCAGTAGTCTGGCAGTTGAGACATCATGGGGCTTTACTTGTAACTAGGCTAGCATTCAGCAGWGTCAACAGCTGTGCAGTAGTTTTGGGCACATGCACCAGCCAAGTGGGTTAGTAGACATGGGCTCTGAGGATCGAGCTGAGCAGAATGACCTTCTTATGGCTATAGCATGTTCTTTTTTTTCCAGAAGAAAGCTGTACCATAGGATTATCTTTAAGGTGAGCTAAGATAAGTCAATTCTTAAMATTTACCTATATGATAAAGTTATTAAACTGCTTTTGTAGGAAAGTGGTTCTCATCAAATATTCTGACATAAAAAGCAGGTTTTTTTTAATAAACTAAAAAGCATACTTTCAAGATAACAATGCACCAGGCAAGAGAAAATAAGGAGAGTTAGTATGCATTTTGCACCAACTGGAAAGGTATGTTCCAAGGATAAATCAATCCTCATATTTTTAATTTTAAAAGGAAATCAAACTTGCAACTTTGCTGCTGGAAGAAATGTGTCGTAAAGAACATTTTATTGCAACTTCTGTCCAAGTTTGAAGGGCTGCAGCCTCATATTATGCTCCTCATGGGACCTGCTTCCCATGGGACGCAGTTAAGAACAGGCACAGTAGCACTTAAAAATATGTGGCAGACACATTCCTGAGATGGGAAGGGATTGTCAGGTGAAGGTCAAGCAGCTAAAAAAACTAAGACTGCTCAAGTGATGTTCAAGCAGTCTGACAATGCTTTATCTTGTGACACAAATAAAAAGAAATCCAGGGTAGGTGGCATCAGATGATTATTAATCACCTTTGTGTTACAGCTATTCACGTTGTTGGCAGAAAATTAAAGCTCAGAATGTTGCAAAACTTCAAGCTTGGTTATTCCAAAAGTTTGTAGATAATGTCATTTTCTGTTACAGGCAGTTCTTTGGTGACTCAGATAATCAGCCTTGACAGTACCTATAAATTTTCAGAATAATCAAGCTAAATGTATTTCACTACTTCTTTTCTTTTAAAACACTACAGTAAAAATAAATTCATCATTAATTTTTGTAGTCTTCCCTTGACTTACCCGGCGGGTAAGATTTCACCTGTTGATGTTCTTCTGGTGCCAAAAATGCTGCAAACACCAGGAGAACTAACTTTGCTCTTCTCCAATTCCTATTGTCTAGTATTTGTATAATCTGTTAATAGTCTRATTCTCTCCACTGCTGCTTTCCACTTCAAGCTCAAATCCTCACACACATACCAGTTGCTTGAATTAGACTGTTTTTCTTAGTTAGTTGCAAAGCACAATCTTGTCAACAGCAGTAATCCAAAACCAGGCTTTTGGTGGAAAGGTTTACTAACATAAGCCTCCATTCTGCAAGTCCCCATCATGCCCAGCATGTGTTCCAGCACATCTAGACAGCCTGGCCCATCCCACCAGGCATGCTGGTGAATTTGCTAAGGGTCACATGCTTGCACAACAGAAAATTAGACAGTTCTTCTATCRTTTTCTATTTTTGATGCTTCCTCTTATGCTCTTGGCTCTTTAAATAATTCCATCTGAATACAACATAACKGCTCAGTTTAAAACTACAACATCAAGTTAAAAACAGTCCAGCCAGAGGTATCTTTTACAAAGGGGTTGTTTCATCCAGCAAGCCCCAGAATTTCAGACTACAAACAAGTGATTAGGGCACAGAGCATAAAAGGACAAAAAAAGATGAACTGAACACACACACTGAGGGAAGGACGGGAGAGCAGGCGACAGCAACTGACAACCTGCACTGCTATTTGGTACCAAACATGCAAAAAAACCCCACTAAACCAAAACCAACAAAAATGAAAAGCTATTGATATATATCTGCATTGACAGACTTCTGTTTATAAACATTGAAAAGTTTTTATTTTATAGATAAATAGCATGGTGATTTTAAAAGTTGAGAAACAACACAACTCAAAAGCTCAGACTCTCCAAGATACTAACGACTCATCGGAGTTTACAATTTACTCCAGCACACTACGATGGCAGCTTCCTCCTTTTCACATTGCACTTAGAACTCAAAACCTTCTTGTAAAGGCTACATTATTTTCAGGTCCTAGCACCGACGCTGTCAATTGAAACCAGAGTCTCAAAGTATCTCTAAGTGCAAACAAAGTTTAAGATTTTGTAAACTGCCATGCTTAAACACAGCAACCCTGAAAATAGCGTTCTCTTTGCAAAGCAAGAGAAAGACGACACTCTCCAGGATTCCCTTAAAGCAGTCAGAAATTAATTAGCATTTGTGATGATCGGGTCTGGACAATCACATACAGTTGAAGTTATAGCAAGGAGTTTAGCTCATAATTCTTTTGAGCCTACTGCTTCCAAAAAGTGTATTTTGCTCTGTTTTCATATTTGTTAYTTCCATCTTGGCTGGGACAAAAATTTAGTTATTCTAAGAGGAAACAAAAACAATAGAAAGAAATAACAGATTCAGTCTTATTCAAAATACACAATACAGCAGTTAGACTTAAATGCTATTCAAAAACAGCACTGAAAAATAGAGGTTGAAATTATGGCAAAGAAATCTCAGAGGAATTTCAGTATGACTGAAGAAATTTGCATTCATTACAAGAATGAGAAGGTATCGTACTTCTTTGGATTTCTGGAAGAAACATGATTATCTGACTTACAGCCTGTTTGTAGCAACCCTCAACCAGTTACCTTTCCCAAAGTTGAAGTTTTTCCTAATATGTCAGTTCTCMTGGAATATGGTTTTGCATGATGTCTGGAGTGAAATTAGAATGAATAAATTAGAATCATAAATTTCAGTAACTTGTAATTTTATCAAGTGAGATAATAGGAGAAGGAAACAAAAGAATTTTTGTGCAGGCTACAGGCCAATGGCAGCATAGGCTGCTTTTGATGTCACAGGAAAGCAGTTTAAAGCACCAAGCTCCAGGCCTATGCCATTTCTCACTGCCTACCTACTACAGTGTAGGTCTGTTGTGGTAACTGAAAACAAGTAGGCTACCACAGGAAAATAAGTACTTTTTCCCTTTAAATATTTGCACAAACTTCATTCTTTGCTTCCTGTTTTTGTATCTAAACTGATTTTAAAAAAAATTACTAAAAACAGCACTGACGTAGATAATAAAAAAAAAAAAAGAAAAAGCAAAGAATTGTGTTAAGTGCAGCTTTTATAATCATGTTCTCAATTTCTTTTACATTTACCACAAAGAAGTATCTTTTCATTGATTTCACTCCAAGGGAAAATACAGGAAATCACTCTTTTGCACACAGGAGTAAAGACCAGAAACTTGTTTCCCACAGGACATTTCAGATGGAGTGCTGCAATTTTGCATCATTAAGGCAAAATGAGGAATACTTCCATCACATGTCACACAGGGCTCTCCCAACTCTGGCCACTTGATAGACGCATAATTAAAAACCTTTGTAGTTACTTGTTTGTTTTAAATAGAAAACAGTCACTCTCTTCATTGCTTATCAGTTTGAAAGAAAAGGCTCTTTCCGGCCTTCACTCAGAACTTCAGTCTTGTGATTAGATCAGGCATATGCAATTGCTTCAAAACAGTAACAGAAAGTAGAACTTGAGCTAAGTGTCAATCAGCTGTAATCTACTGATCTGATTAGAAGCCTTCACAAATGTTTGGTGACGATTGCAAATAACAGCCAAGCAGATAGGAATGATGCAATACCCAACAGTTTTGGGGTCAGCTCTTGTACAGGAATAGAGGAACAAGAACATCTGTAAATATGGTATTAAAAATATTATCGTCCACAGCCAAAAAGGCAAGGATAGCAGTCGTACTTTTAAGGAGTGTGTCCATGTGGTTCCTTCCTGTGGCTCCTTGGGGTGTTGCTGAATGTGCTCCAGTGCTAGTTTGTTGTAAGTCTCATTGATTTCAAAGACGTAATAAAAAGCTGCAGCACTTGCTAACAAGTACAGCCCCACACCAATCCAGCCCATCCTCTGGCGGAAGTTCATCATTCTCCATGCTCTGCACCTGAAACAAAAGGTGATATAAACATTCAGTACAGCTTGGAGAAAGAGGGGAACCTTGGTTTTCTTAAGTTAACTTTCTATAACTTTTCATTATACATTAGTTRAAACTTAGTTCGGATCTTCAGAAATTGATGTTTCTACATCACTACTCTGCCAGCAACAGGTTAATGGCAACAACACACAAAGTTCCATTCATGGCACTGGATATTTTAGGGCCTGCTGGCTATCAGGATATACCTGGCTAGTCAGGTACTGAGGGAACAAAACAGAAGCTATCAAGGATAAGATACCCCAYATGCTCTCAATGTCTTTAAACATACAGTGGGGATAATGTAAGATTTTCTATAAATACRTAAAGTTTGAAAAGTTCCTTGACATCTGCAAGACAAACATGCTGCTATACAGCCAGTAACAGSAGCATTACTGTTTGTCTGTGGTGCAGCAACATCCAGTTGTATTAAGCTCCAGCAGAGTGCCCATCTATGAACCCCAAAAAGGGATGTTCTCAGTTTGAACACAAGGTTCAAACTTGTACTAAAGGTATGTCTTTGCACACGTGAAGGTGCTATAACCGTGATACTTGCACCCCACCGTGTTCCCACTGTCCCTGTGTGGGCAGGTGCCACAGGCCTTCCAGAGGAGCAGAGCTGCATACCTGCAGTGGTCAGTGCCTCGGTGCAGAACAAACCAGGCACTCACCACCAGGTACTATGCAGAAAAAGCATACATTATTGATGCCCCACAGACACTACTGGGCTCAATTTTAGCTGCTTCAAATCTCCAGCTGGCTGAATGAGTCTAGGTGACTGGAAACACTCTTCAGTCACAAACACTCCAGCTGGAGTACCCCCACACAAATGAAGTCACCACCTCTTTTCCTCCAAACAGCCCCTGCACAGGGGGTAAAAAGAGCCAAGACTTCTTGGCTTTTACCTATCTTACCTTTCCSAAGAGAGGCGTAAAATCTATCTATGTAGTGCTGTTCTAAGAAAATATACTGGGCCTTTAAAATACCTGGCAGAAATGCTGATTTTAAAATGAATTATGCATAGGAAAGAGTAACAATTCACAGAAGCATTAGAGAATTTACCATAGATGATACCAATTCATGACACCTTTCTGAACCAGACTAATCTGTTTGGTTAGCAATCCTGAAAGACTTCCTGGTTTTACGTAAGTAGGGATATCCTCAATCCTGACAGGACAGAATCTGATCAAGGTAGCCCTGGAGAAATTGTTCTGGCCCTCACACTGCTGCATTCATGGTAGCTAAAAGAGTCGAACAAACAGGGACAGTAAACACCTGAGAAAGAACAGTAAATACCTGAAAAGGAACAGTAAATACTTGAGAAAGCTATTGCAGACTCAAGTAATGGCAACTTCTTGTTCAGCTGATCCTTCGATATAACTCAACTGCACGTTTCCCTTTATTACCCCGAGTCAATACGTTTAGTAGGACAACGAAAAATTCATGTAAGGAAGGAGCTGTTAAYGTACAGGGTAAAACCTTGAACCCCAGGTCCACGTTTACCCGCTAAATAAGCCGCTGGCTGTTTTTTGCAGCAGTTCGGCATATCCGAGCTGGCTCACAAGTTGTCTCCTTCRACGAAAATAAACCGTCAGAAGGAATGTACATACTGAAAGCACAAGCGCTATCAAAACAGCAGTAGATTTAAGAAAATAAACACCAGCGGGTTTAGATCCTGCCCTTGAGCAGCAGCTAGAAGAAAAGTCTTAGCTCCCGGTTATACCGAAGGAGGTTGAGGTAACAGAGTTTTCTCATTTTTATTCTCCGTTTCCAGACCCAAATGCAACTTACARTTGGTTTTTGGGTACACCCGCGATGGTTCTCGGACCCCTTCACCCCACTGGAGCTCTCTTCCCGCGACCGACCGGACACACCGCCTGCCGGACCCACGCTCCAGGCGAGACGCGCCTCGCCACCACGAGTCCTTCCCGGTGCCGGCAGCTCCTTACCTTCCTCCGGCAGAGAAGGAGGGAGCGGGAGGGCGGCGGCGGGCGGCCCGCTCCCCTCAGCCCGCGCCGAGGCGCCGGGAGGCGGCGAGTCCCGCGGGCCCGCCCCGCTGCCCGCCCGCCGCCATGGCCGCCCGCCGGCACCGCCACTTCCGGCACCGCCACTTCCGGCACGGGGCAACGGCTGCCGGGGCGCGCGGCCGCATCCGGGGCGGGCGCCTTGGCCGGCGGCCATCTTGGCTCGGGCGCGCGCCCCTCTGTGGCCGCGGTGGCCTCGCCCAAAATGGCGGCGGCGCCCTCAGGCGGTGTTGAGCTCCTTCGCTGAGAGGGGACAGACCAAAAGTGTTGTGTTTTGGTACAGTGGCGGCGTGAGCCGGTCGAGGGAAGTGACAACGGTGATTACTAGGGAAGTTACAATAGAAACTGAAACAATTTCCAGCAAATGGCAAACGTGTAGTCAAAACCCAGTATATGCTAACTTACTGTATTATTTCTATTGAATTAAACAATTAGTAGATATTATAGGCTCATTATCCCCTGTGGCAGCGGGGGTTGGGACCAGATGATCTTTGAGGCCCATATGTTTCTGTGATCTRCAGGGAAAAAAGCATTTAATGAAGCTAAAAGATCATTTAAACTGACAGRAAAATGAAATGGTCAGATGTGTGCCGTTCAGTGACGGCACAGCAATGATCTGGGGAGAGTTTGTGTTTGGAGAGCGTGTTTGCCTGAATTCAGGAACTGTGTGACTGCAACTACGTGCCAGCAAATGCCAAAACTGATTGCGTGACATGTGAAGTGAAAATTTCRTACTAAATGGTTGTATCCCAAAGTTAGGAGAAAACTACCATTTCTCATGGAGAAAGAAAGAAAGCAGCAGTGGCCACAATTCACTCTCATACAGCTGTCATTGAGGAGGCTAAAAGGATTTGAAAAGGAATGCCCAATAAGAAATGAAAGATGCTAAAGCAATGACTTTTCTGCATGGGTGTAAATACACAGGATCTTCTTTGACTTTTCTTGGGTATGTAGTAGGTGCATGTGATACAATATATAAGAGCTGCTGCAAAATCAAATTTATGATGGCTTATTCTGCTGTGKTTGGTGTTTCAATGAAAAGTGTTAGAAGCTTGGATTCCAGTCAGGAGAGCCTATGACTAAATGTACGGAGCTGCAGATATCAGTACAGAAAAATGACRCTGTTTAGAGCCCACAGGAGTCAGAAATATAAATTCTTTGTCACAGAGCAACTTCACCTTTAGTTGTGCTGTTTTGTTTGGGTTTTAAAAATTATTATTATTAATAATAATAATATAATTATTACTCTTTTAATGCTCATTGAACTAAAGGCCCAAAAGTGACACAAGGTGGCGCCTGGCACCACAGGCCRAGCCAACCTGAGCAACACTGACTCCCAGGTTAGAGATTCTACGCTTTACTTCAGTTGAATGAAGATTTCATTATCTTTCCTTAAGTTTAAATAAACCATTAGTGTAGTTCTGATGAAAGATGTAGATATGAATAGGTACATACAGCTAATTACCCCTGGGACACTTCTCTCAACTAAATGCCATTCTTTCTGTTCTCACAGGTGGTGAGGTCCCAGCTGATCCAAAAGCTGGGAATAAAGCTGAATAAAGCTCCTGTGTGGCTGACAGACCTTCCAGTCAAGCATGGCTATATTGTATTTTCTTATATTGAGATTAGAGGTAATGATGAGAAAGGAACCACTTTCCTTTAAAATACCCATCTAGATGTTGAAGAGTTTCAGTACGAATTAATGTGTGACTATGTGAATGTATGGCTTGGCAGTGAATACATGCGCTAAGTGTAAAGCCTGCATTTGCACTTAAGAAAAGCAGTGAAATRTGGAACTTATTCCTACTTAAGAAGTCTGTCTTTTCACTGAATGGTTGGGTTTGGAAAGGGAGGGTGGTTTAGGATTTAACCTGCTTGTAAAAGAAGTAGGTTAAAAGACCCAACCATGGGTCTTCTGTGATAACCATAAGCATCAGATTGAGGTTATAAAGAGAAGGATCTGAAAAATTTGAAGAGTTATTGTAACAAACACAAGCTGCCWTTGGAAGCTAAGACATAACACCAGACAAAGTGATTTGTAGTATTTTTGGGCTAGATCTCAATCTTCATAAATTCAGTGTTATGTTTAACCCCTGGCATAATACAGGAAGGGACAGAGCAAATAGCTCAGCTGAGGGTTTGATTGATGGGTTAGTTTAAAGCAGCAGGCCTTTAAGTGGGGAGAGAATATTACCAAAATTAATAGAACAAGAAGCAACTGTTCTCAGCTTTAGACATATTTCAAACCTAAATTCCAGTCATGAGTGCTGGTAATAATAAAGGGAAAGAATTCATWACTCTGCACATTGAAATGAGAACATACACCTGGTGAGACTCAAAAGGGAAATATTCAGCTTGGCAACCAGAGGAGAAGATAGAAGTCTGTTGAATCCAAAGGAAATAATATTTAATGAACAGAATCAGAGAATTAATAGTGGGATTTTTTACCATTAAAAAAGCATTTCACTTAGTTTTGACATGTGATGTATTTTTATAAAAATGTTTGGTTTATTTTGAAGGTAAAACAGAAAAGCACTGGAGCAGTGAGAGCTGGCTTGATCCATAGAGGGCAGGAGCCAAGGACAAGAACACAGCTGATGGTGCAAAGCCTCACTGCCCAAGCCACAGAGCCTGAGCAAGGCAAGCAGGGCACACCAGATTCAGCCAGGAGTACAGAGCGTTAGGCAAGTAGCAAAGCAGGTCCAAGGTCAAGCTGTGAAGGCAGCCCACAGGCTAGGGTCTGGTACAGTGAGTGATTGTGGGTCTGACACAACCTAGCAATTGCCACGAAGGTCCATACCAATAAGAAAGGACTGAGGTCAAGCTAGGAAATCAGGTAACTCCAGGTCCAGGTAAACACAGATTGGCACAGTCATGGCTGACCTGGGCTTGGCTAAACTGGGGCTCCTGAGCCCATGGGATGTGAGGTGAAAATCCCCAGGTGAGGAGTGTTGGGGCAATTAAGGCCTGTTAGTGCACTCAGAATCTTGACAAATTACACAGGATAAATGAGGGTTGACAAAAGGAATCAGAAGAATTAGTTGTAATCTTTGAGTCAAATGAAGTTTTCGTAACTCGGTATTAATGGAAAGTCTTCTCTAGGCCTAGATTTTGGCCAAAATAGAAAAGCAAAAGTAGAAGACCTGAGATGATTAATTACCAAACCAAGATAAGTTGGCCTTCCAAAGAGAAGGCAGAAGCTGAAGGACAGAATGCATCTTGCATTCTTTTGGGTAGGTCTTGTGTTTATATTTAGCAGAGTTGCAGTGGGTTCTCACTGACAAGTAACCAAGAAGTGAGAATTTAATAACAGAGACATTTCTGTCAAGATGGCATTTGCCTTTCACTTTATAGGACACTGATTTTTTATTCATCTAGAACACCATGTTCCTGGATCTTTTCCTTCTTAATCCTAGCTTTAAATGTCTGCCTCATGTCTGCGTTGTCTTGCTAAAACAGTTCTAGCAAGAATACTGCATTTGTTGGCATTCTTAAATGAGGGAAATATCCATTTTTCCACACAAATGTATGACTGGTTTGCCTTTCACCAACAGAATATAAACATAGTCATCATAACAACATGAAGGTTCTAGGAGGGTAAGAAATACACTGCTATGAAACTGTAACAAGTGCATCTAAATCAATACTTTCTCCAGATGAAACACTATCTGGCCTAAATTAATGTGTCAACTGTAGGTGAATTTCTGCATTGCTTTGTTTAGTAGGACTCAGAGCACCTCCARTCTAAAATGATGCCTCTACATAGTGCAGAGCTTCTTTGCCAGGAGTCTGTAGTGTTCTGGGTAACTCTTACCSGTAGAAGTGTATCACCAGCGAATCCAGTGCATAAATAATGATGTTTCAATGGATTGTGATGTAAACTTACACCTATCCTGATCTGGGTCTTGAAGCAGAGGTTACAATTTCAAGGTTTTTTCATCCTCTATTCTGTCACTATTTTTTCACTAGCTGGACACTGTAATTCCCAGGTTGTTGCAAATTTTTGAAGTGGTAGTTCTAAATGCTCTGGCAAAACAGCCTCTGAAGCAGTGGCAAATCTTTAGCTTGGTAAAATTAGGCAGCCTAATACTTTTCTGGAGTGGCTTCACACTGTGAAAATGCTTAGTGACTTGGTTAGCGAGCACATGACTGGTGGGTGAGAACACCCACCCTAACCCAGGAGGATCACAAAGAAGAGCACAACAGAAGGCGTAGATGTCCCTTCTCTGGAAATCTGCACAAATAAAGCCCCGCCCCCCAAACCACCAATGTTAGCCAGCACCACAAGGGTTTTGTTACTGTAGAAAAGTCTGTGACAGCTGCAAGTTCTCCTTTCCCCAGCTGTTTGGAATGATAATAAACCAGTCTTTTGGGGCTATTGTCATTCACAGCAAGTGGAGATAATTAGCAAAGAACAGTTCAGGTTTGAATTCTCTCAAAATTAAGTAGATGAGATCCTTTGACAAGACCCACATGCCTATTATTATTCCCCACCCCAATCTAGGCTTCATCATCTTCAGAAGATATCCTACAAATTGTGGTCAGTCCCTCTTGCAGCTTTTTTTGTTATTGCAGAGTAGCCAAAATCTAACCTGAAACCACTATCAACTCTACCCTCAAGACAGCTGGGTAACTTCTAATTCTCTGACTTATGAAACCATTTTCTAGAGAGAATTCTATAGTCTAGTAGCTAAGAAATTACTTAAGTGCTTGAAACACCTTTATGACTGCTCCTTGGCATATCCTGAGGCCTCTGCCATTAAATGGTGGCATGAGTGCTTTCCTCTGGTTTAGGGTGTTCCTTACCCTCTCTGGTTTCCCCTGGCAGGCCTCCATGTGGAAAAGAATCCCACTTCGTAGGCTTGGTGCAAATGGAGCAGAAATAACCACTACACAAAGTGCTGAGAGTTCAAGAAGAACATTCTTCTAACTTTTCCTCCATCTGATTTGTTTAGGTAATTTTCCCAAATAAATAAAAGAGGAAGTGTGTATGTACTTGTATTTATTGCACAATTTCAAAAACAAATACATAGACAGACGTC